CCGATGTGGTCTTCGCATTCGGATTCCGCACCAACTTCGGTGGCGGCCGCTCCACCGGCTTTGCCCTCATCTACGACACGCTGGACTTCGCCAAGAAGTTTGAGCCCAAGTACCGCCTGGCCCGTCACGGCCTCTTCGAACAGAAGAAGCAGACCCGCAAGCAGCGCAAGGAGCGTCGCAACAGGATGAAGAAGGTGCGCGGCACTGCCAAGGCCAAGATCGGTACTGGCAAGAAGTAAGCCTGATTGAGGAAAGCACGTCTGCGGGCATCCCCTGCTATTCCCAAAAGCTACTGGTTATGCGTTAGTCAAACTTCTTTACCAACCATTCAAAAAACGACAAAACAAAATCAGTGTTTACTTTTGGAGCGGCTTTTGTTTGTAAACTAAGGAAATAAAACTCTAAAAGTATACAATTTCCTGTGGTTGATTATCTGGGAAAGACGCGAGTGCAAATAGTTATTTAATTATCACTTCTAAGTGTCTGGACCAATTTTATATAAAAAAAACTACTGGAGAAACATATTTTCTTGCCAATAACTCTTGGTTATCTGTTGTACGCCTTTAGTGTCATTTTGCTGGGAAAATGTCTCCAATTTGGAAATCACCGATATAGCTTTTCAATTTATTTCAGATGGGTTGAAGGCTGGAAATTCTTCATATCTAACAGGTAATTTCAATTGTATTGAAATTAAACTATAAAATACATTTAGAGTACCCCACATGCAATTTAAAATATGCCATCTATCGGGATTAAGTAAATGCAATCGATTGTGGTCGTTGGGCCATACTATCGATAACGCTATCGATGTTTTGACTACTCTATTTCGTACCGTATACAGAATATAATATTGGTAAAAAAAATCTCGGTTAGATGCTGCTCCTACGGCCTAAGGAGGATTACTTGGACGCCCAGTAACATTATCCTTTGGCAGAGGACGCGGCCAACGCCCAGACATGTCCAGTTCAAATGGAGGCGTGGCATCAGGGGCCGCGGGAAGCAGCGGCGTCGCTTCGCCTGGCGATTGGATTTGCCCAGATTACGAGTGAGTGCCCGTAAAGATGCAGGGATAGCGGCCAAGTGGGAAGTCCTCCGAGTCACACCTTTCCCACGATTTTGCAGCTGTCGCCATCTGAACTTCGCCCGCCGTTTGCAGTGCAACAAATGCGACCGGGACCGCGATGGCAGTGATAAGCCGGAGCGAGACAGGGATCGAGACCGGGAGCGGGAACGCGGCAACGGGAGCAGCAGCAGTAGCAGCAGCTCAAGCAAGAAGAAGCTAGGCACCGAAATTGGCAAGGCGGCGGCCGACAAGTCGAGGGGCTTGTTCAGTGCCGAGGATTGGCAGTGCAGCAAGTGCGCAAATGTGAACTGGGCACGTCGCCAAACCTGCAATATGTGCAACGCTCCCAAGTTCTCGGATGTGGAGGAGCGGACTGGTGAGTCCGAATAAGCTTCATCCGCTTCAAAACCTACTTAACCCATTTCTTTAAAGGCTTCGGCGGTGGATACAATGATCGCGGCGTAGTAGAATACAAGGATCGTCAGGATTCGGATAGCGAGTACGATGAGTTCGGACGTCGCAAGAAGCGAAAGCACGGCGAGCATCGAGAGGACTCCAAAAGGCCCAGAAGGTCTAGTCGAGATGAGCAGCGGAATGAGGAGGAAGAAGATGAGGACGACGACGAAGGAGACGACGAAGATCTGTCGAAGTACGATCTCTGGGGCGACGAAGAAGTCACTTCCACAGATGTCAAGAGCAAAGAGGCTACTGGCAATGGCGACAAGGAGCGCAAGCGTACCTCACGCGACTCTACCTCTTCCGTGTCCTCCTCGTCGTCGTCCAGTTCATCCAGCTCCAGCGACTCTTCGTCGAGCAGCTCGAGTAGCTCCAGCAGCGGCGGCAGGCGAAAAACCGCCTTGTCTGGGAGACGTTAGCTGCAAATCGTATCCTTTAAGAACTTCTCTTTAATTGCATCTGTTTTTACACATTTCTCTAAGGCAATCATGCTTGCCTTCTTATTTATTTGCCAGTATGCGCTCAGATGATCATGACATATGGTACGATGTCCAGTATAATAAAACATATAATTTAAGAACACCAGCATTTACATTTATTGTAAGACACCGTAACATTAAAGAATCGGGCCTAATTCAAGCCATCCTCGTTTTGTTTCTTGCTGGTAGCGACTGCCTCCGCCTGCTGCAGCTCCTTCAACCGTTCCAGCTGCCTTTTTGAGTCGGCAATCTGCTCTTCTGTCACGGTAACGGGGACATCGCAGGATATCTGCTCCTGCCGTACGAACTGCATCTTCTTGATTGCCTCCTCAAGGAAGGGTATTTGCTGGGCCTGCAGCTGCTTATGGTAGGCCTCCAGTCGCTCTTCCTTTAGGTTTTCGCAGTAAGTGTCGGTCAACTTTTGCAGGGACTCCTTGCGGGTAATCCAGTGGAAATGTGCGGGCGGTGGCTTATACACCAGGTCGAGTTTTTCAAGAATCCACTCGAAGCGGGGATAGTCCCAACGTCTCAAATACTTGAGGAACTTCTTGCGTTTGTCAATGAGCTCCTTGAGTCGCACCTTGATCATCTTGTCGCGGGGATGCTTGTCCATGTGCTCCTGGTAGCGGCGGATCACTGCAGTCATTTTGGCCACTAAAAAGATGTCAAATTATGAGGACACTGCTATATGTTCACTCTGCAAAGGTACATACATTTGGCCTCCATTGAACCGAAGTCTTGGGCATGCCGTTGCACCTCCTTGACCATCTCGTCGCGATAGAATTTTGTGGTCAGGTAACTGGCATTGTTGCTCAGCTTGAACAAAGATTTAACGGTCTCGTCGGCTCTACAACAATGTTGAGATGATATGAATAAACGATTATATTTTGCAGAGTACTGCAACATACTTCTCCAGTTCCTTGCAGTCCCGGAATTCCGGCAGCAGTTCGTCGGCTTTCAGAGGAGGCAGTTTGGCCAAATCACCGCTTTTCTCGGGCTTAAAGCACGCGATCTTCTCGGGGCGCACCCATTTGATTTTCAGTTCCGACTTGAATGCATATTCCCGGACAAACTGGCGCTGCCCTGCCTGGGCTATATTCAACAGTTTATTCATTAAATCGGCTTCTATTTGTGGGCCGAATTTTGGCTAGGTTATATCACTTGGCCAGTGTATACCAATAATCGGAAAGTGATTACTGCACAGCTGTTGGCCTATCGATTTCTTATCGATAGACTTCGGCAGTGTATGCACACCAGTATTAATTTGTCCAACAGCTGTAGCAACAGCAATTGTTGCTGGTTTTCTTTCTTTTCGACTGTCGGCTTCTCGTGGAACTGGGATTGTAAAAACTGTATAAATAGAGGAAAATTTCACCATGGCGCACATGTCCCACATGCTCCAGCAGCCTTCAGGGTCGACGCCCTCCAACGTGGGCTCCAGCTCATCGCGCACGATGTCCCTGATGGAGAAACAGAAGTACATCGAGGACTACGATTTTCCCTACTGCGACGAGAGCAACAAATACGAAAAGGTGGCGAAAATTGGCCAAGGCACCTTTGGGTAGGTCTTCGAAATAGTGAAAACATACTTTGAACAACTAAACCATAACCCTTACCATTTCAGGGAGGTTTTTAAGGCTCGCGAGAAGAAGGGGAACAAGAAGTTTGTGGCCATGAAGAAGGTGCTGATGGACAACGAAAAGGAGGGCGTGCGTGAACAGCAACATCTTAAGAGACGAATTCCTAATTTATATATGTGCTCTCCTAGTTTCCCATCACGGCTCTGCGAGAGATCCGCATCCTGCAGCTGCTGAAGCACGAGAACGTGGTGAATTTGATAGAGATCTGCCGCACCAAGGCCACCGCCACGAATGGTTACAGATCCACTTTCTATTTGGTATTTGATTTCTGCGAACACGATTTGGCAGGCCTTCTGTCCAATGTAAACGTCAAGTTCAGTCTGGGCGAGATCAAGAAGGTTATGCAGCAGCTGCTGAATGGCTTGTACTACATCCACAGCAACAAAGTAAGTCATAACAAAAAACAATGGTATTTGTACATATATATTTTCATTTGCATTACTAGATCCTGCACCGAGACATGAAAGCTGCCAATGTGCTGATTACCAAGCATGGCATCCTTAAACTCGCTGATTTCGGCTTGGCCCGTGCTTTTAGCATTCCAAAGAATGAGAGTAAGAATCGCTATACAAATCGCGTAGTAACCTTGTGGTACCGGCCGCCGGAGCTGCTGCTGGGTGACCGCAACTACGGTCCGCCCGTTGACATGTGGGGAGCCGGCTGCATAATGGCCGAGATGTGGACTCGCTCGCCCATCATGCAAGGAAATACGGAGCAGCAGCAGCTAACCTTCATCTCGCAGCTGTGCGGCTCCTTTACGCCGGACGTGTGGCCGGGAGTAGAGGAGCTGGAGCTGTACAAATCCATCGAGCTGCCAAAGAACCAGAAGCGTCGAGTCAAGGAGCGCCTGCGTCCGTATGTCAAGGATCAAACTGGCTGTGATCTACTGGACAAGTTGCTGACCCTTGATCCTAAGAAACGCATCGATGCAGACACAGCTCTGAATCACGATTTCTTCTGGACGGATCCCATGCCCAGCGACTTGAGCAAGATGCTGTCCCAGCACCTGCAGAGCATGTTTGAGTACCTGGCGCAGCCACGCCGCAGCAACCAGATGCGCAACTATCACCAGCAACTGACCACCATGAACCAGAAGCCCCAGGACAACAGCATGATTGACCGGGTTTGGTAGACTGCCAGAGGTGTACGCACCCGATTTTGTACTATTAGTTTCTCAACTTCAACTAGTGTTAGATAATTAGGTTAGTGTACAATAAAAATATTGGCATTTACATTAGCGCTTGCTCCAAGTATACCTTCAACATTTTGTTTGTCTGCATCATGTCTCGTTTACTCAAAGCTACTACAATAACGCAGAATCAGTGCAAGTAAGGGTATTCTCAATTCGACTGATTTAGAAAATTTAAACATTGAAGAGGGGTGTACACACTGGCCGCGAGATGCACGTTGAGGAAACGCAGCAAAAGGTAAACAAGGCCAAAAAGGCGGATAAAAAGCAGCGGAGATGTCTTGCAATCATCAAAAATGACTGCGAGGTGTCTCCAAGCGATGAACCCACCACATACCTGGCGATTCTCAACGTGGGACTCAGCAATGGACTTACGGAGGAGTGTCTGCTAACGGAGGCTGCCGCGACCGGCGGAAAAGTCATTCAGGTGGTCATGTTGCCGGGCAAATCTTACTGTTTTTTGATCTGCGCAAGCTTGGAGGACTCACAGCACATATATGAGGGGATGCACAACATATCGACCATTGGACAACAGGGAGCTGTTGCCTACCTCAGCTATGTAAAGCAATTACCGGCTATTGCGGGGAAAAGTGAGTGGAACAAGCCTCTTCCCAGAGGCCTTCACGTAATTGAAGACTTTGTCACCGAAGAGGAGGAGTCAACGCTGTTGAGCGTCATTGGTGGGGATGGCAGAACCTCCGAAGTCACGGGAACTCTAAAGCATCGAAACGTCAAGCATTTTGGCTTTGAGTTTCTTTACGGTAGCAATAATGTGGATCCCTTCAAGCCTCTGGAGCAGTCAATACCATCGGCCTGTGATATTCTGTGGCCGCGACTAGATAGCTTCCCTTCCAACTGGGACTGGAGCTCTCCTGACCAGCTGACAGTGAATGAATACGAACCCGGTCATGGAATTCCTCCTCATGTGGACACACACAGTGCTTTCTTGGATCCCATTCTCTCGTTGTCCCTGCAATCCGATGTGGTAATGGATTTCCGACGAGGAGATGACCAGGTTCAAGTCAGACTTCCGCGCCGATCCTTGCTGATAATGTCGGGTGAAGCTCGCTACGACTGGACACATGGCATCAAACCAAAGCACATTGATGTGGTACCCAGTGCATCTGGCGGTTTGACCACTCAAGTCCGCGGCAAGAGAACTTCTTTGACTTTTCGACGTCTGCGAAAAGGTCCCTGCCACTGTTCGTACCCCGCGCTTTGCGACACACAGCAAACCAAGGTGCCACAGGAGTTGACTGCATCACTGGCTGCTCAGGCCGTCACTCTGGAGCAACAGAATGTCCACGAAGTGTACGATAAGATTGCGGATCACTTTAGCGAAACGCGACACACGCCGTGGCCACAAGTAGCTGAATTTCTGGACTCCTTTGAACCCCAATCTGTGGTGCTGGACATTGGTTGCGGCAATGGCAAGTATCTGGGCTGCAACCCGTTGCTCCTGGCCGTTGGTTGCGACAGAGCGCAAGGATTACTTGCTGTAGGTCGTCGAAAGGGACAAAATGTGTTTCGATGCGACTGTCTTATTGTGCCCGTCCGCTCGTCCAGCATCGATGGTTGCATCAGTATAGCGGTCATTCATCACCTGGCCACCAAGGAGCGTAGATTGGCCGCCTTGCAGGAGATGGCACGTGTTCTTCGACCTGGAGGGCGTGCTTTGGTTTACGTTTGGGCCAAGGATCAGCGAAAGAATGATAAGAAGTCGACTTATCTTCGGCAAAATAAGGCAGTGAATAAGGAGCGTACCACTGAGCAGCAGCAACGTCAGAGGCAACATCAGGAACTGGAGCAGCAGCTGTCCAATAATAACCCACTTCCTATTCACACTAATCGCACTGAGTTCCAGCAGCAAGACGTTCTGGTGCCATGGAAGACCAAGGATGAACAGAAGACCACGTATCTGCGATACTACCATGTCTTTGAGGAGCAGGAACTGGAAAACCTAGTGTCCCAGCTGCAAGAGGTACAATTAATCAAAAGCTACTACGACCAGGGCAATCATTGTGCGGTTTTTGAGAAAATATCCAAAAACTCTTTATGAAAAGATTACATTTATGTAATTCGTTTATTTGATTTCAAAAATACACATTCACACAGTTTTACTTTGGTTTTGTGTTAGCGAATTTAACGTAAACTAGAACTTAGTTAAGCTTACTGCTGACCCATCCAACTGATGATCTATTTATTGTAGCTTTGGACCATAAATTGACAATTCCTTAATAACAACGTTTGTGTTCCACTGAAGAGATTTTCAGTTGATGTAGGTACAAGTGCATGTGTATTTACATTTGTTGTATTTCATTCCTGAAACAAACTGGATAGCATAGATCTCAAGTGTCTAACGCGTACGTGGATAGATAAATTTCGAGTATCATAACTAAAATGTAAAGAGACTACCTAAAACAGTGAGCGGGAGCAAATGGGCTTGGTGCCATAGATTCCTAAAGTATCGTTCCTATATAAACTTCTATAAATCCATCAATAAGTTCGCCTAACACGATATATACTCATTTGTATAGGGTACGCGCTACAGAAACATCTACACGGAATACATGTAAGAGTCTGGTTTCAAAAACACTCAGAAGTCGTCCAGGGCACTTACTTTGCAAAAATCTCTACGTCTAATTAATAGTCATGTAATAGGATGCTTAAAGCTAATTATGTACTAGTTACAGTTTCAAACGTTTCGCTTTGGTCGTGGGTACAGTAGAGAATTTGATATGTTAGCATGTAACATTTGGACTATGTGATTTCATTGCCTTAAAGCTAAGAGCTAAGTGTATAGCAGGTGTCCGAATACCTCTGGAGCTACGAAGTAGAGCCCGGCATGAATCACACTGTTTTCCGGGTTTCTTCGAGGATCATATGAACTGAAACCCTGTTGATCCTGCAAGGCTCTTGGACGCACATTACAAACTTTACTGGGTGTATAAATATATATATGAATATATTTGGTAATCTATATAGATCGTGTGTATAACAGTGGTGGTGCCCAAGTGTTCTGTGTTCGTTTTGGCTATATGTATAGGAGAAGAATTAAAGAGAATCGATTTAATAGTTTCAACAGCTAGGTGAGTCTACGGACTAGGTTAAACCAGAAATTCATCATCGTCGTAATATTAAAGCCTGATAGTTTACTTGTTTGTTGTTAAAGCTGATTTATCAGTTAATAGGTATGCATACACACATACACAATAATCGACTTATAAAGTTCTACAGGTTACCATTGTTTTCGTTTATAATGTACATATGTGTATACGTCAGTCGTTGTTGAATATACAAAGCTTTCCTTGCCTGGTGATGACCACTGGTACAATATCCTTTATTCTATCCTATTACTACTTCTCGTCCTTGCACTGCCTTGTTAGCATTCTACGTTTTAAAGCCTCTCACCGAAACACTTATTTGAGCAGCTGGCACACTTTCTCCGTCTCAACTACCTCGTCTTAGATTATTCAAATAGGATTTGGATTGGGTACTCTGTCTGCGGCTTTGGGAATTCATAAGGACTATCAAGGGGCCAGGGTCCAGTTGCCTTCAGTGCGAGCTTAGATAAATGTTTCGGCTGCCATTTGTTACAAGCACTCGGCCAGCGGCGGCTTCTCAATGGGCGGCGAGGGACCGGAGACGGAAACCATTGGCACGGCACTTATCTTGGGCTTGACGATCTTCAGACCCAGGCTGCCAAGGTTCTTGGGGCTGCTGTGCGGCGACGAGGAGGCGGTCGAGGATCGCTGGTGCACCAGGACGCGCGGCTTGGCCTCGATGGCAATGCTGGGCGAGGATGAGGCCGAAACGCTGGCCGTGGCAGTGGCACTGGCCAGGAGCGGCACATGGACCAGCTCCTCCACCGTCTCCGCCGAGTCCTGCGATTCGTGTACCACGGCATCTGCATCGCTGTGGATGAGTGCCGCCGTGGACAGCGTATCGCCCTCATCATCCTGCATGTAAGGTGGTGGTGCCTCCAGCGAAATGCTGCCCACAATCATGTTGGCCGTGGTAATGGCCGCCGATCGCGCCAGCAGACTGCTCACGGCCGTGGGCGTCTGCTTGCCATCGTGGATGACCGGCAGCCGAAGCAGTTCGCCTCCAGCGCCGCCGCACTCCTTCAGCTCGATGTCGTTGCTGTCCTGCGAGAGGTGCTGCTGCTTGCAGGATTCATCGTCGGTGCGCCACGGCCGCAGGCTCTTCTGCAAATGGAAATCATTGGTTGGAGTTAATGAAAAGAGCTATACTCGTATTCATCAGTTCATTCTAACTCACCCTTCTTCCGTTATCCGTGATGTTCTCGGCGCTCTTGGCTTTCCGGCAGAGAACACTCTGGGATCCGTGGCGTCGGAGGAACTCTATGGAGTCGAAGCCTCGCCCCTCCGAGGACACGAAGATGGCCGAGTTGATTCGGCTGCGGGTGCAGCGCTCCGAAATGGAGGTCGAGTGCTCCTCGGCCAGCATGTGGATGTGCTGCAATGATAAGTAGGTTAGTAAGGATCTCCGCTGGGTGTTGCCGCATCCTCCGGCCAGTTGCTTACGCGGCTATTGCAGTGCAACGGTGGGTGGGCACATTCACTGCTGTCGAACTGCGTTCCGCAAAAGGAGCAGAGCAAGAGAGAGGGAAGAGAGATAGAAAGAGATAGAGAGGAGACGGTAGACGGACAGTTCCCAGGGGGATTCACACGCACAACACACATAAGCCCGCATCAAGGACCTCCCGCCACACTGGAGCAAGGACCAACAAGAACAGGAGCAAGCGACAAGCGATGGACAATCTACAGCCTGGCTACACACTACTGCAGTACAAGATACGAAGCCGGGACACAAGCGGATGCGGATTGCGATTTGTGATTTTGCTGTGAGAGAGAAGTGAGCGGGTGTAGGCCGTTTCCATCCAGTGGGGTTAGCGCTAGTCTGTACAAGGTGATTGATATTGATGGGTGAGTGGTGCGATTTGGTGCTCCGGTCTGCAATCTGAAGTGGAACTCGAACTCGAACTCGAAATCGAACAGGAACTCGAACTCCAGGCAAAACCATGTGAACGTGCTCCACAAGCTGCAAGTGCTGGGGGCTAGTGTTGGGAACATCCTGCTCTCTTTGGTGGACAAAGTCAGTGGCACTACCTTTGGCGAGGTAGCGAAAGTTACCCAATTTCTTCTCAGAACATAATAGCTTGGCCCAATAAGGTAGATAAAATGAGCAAACACAGGCCTTCATTAAAAACTTGAATGGAAAAGGTCAACAGTGCATATGAGTAATAACAGTTAGTAGCACTGTTAAAAAATATTTAAATTGTTATAATTCAAAAAGCTAAGTAAACAGCCCAGAAGAGTGTAAGAACCAATTTGCCAGATGTGAAAACTAATGTGTGCAATTAAGGTTGTCCCAAGTGACCTTTTCCTGTTCCCTCGCCAAAGGGAGCCACCTGTTTTGAGGTCGTTCCACCCAACACTAGCTGGCTGACTTACACTGGCCGGCTCGCTGTAGTTGCTGTGGTTGAGCACCGAGGATTCGGTGTGGATGGTGTCGCTGGCCACCATGCTGTGGTACTTCTGCAGCTGGAGCTGCATCGTTGACGAGCCTCGACTGTCGTGCGATCCCTCCCGGGATCGGTCCGCGCAGGAGTACTGCCTGCGGTACTGGCGTCTCCTTCGCCCAGCACTGGCGGATGGATTCGCATCCGTGATGGTACCCAGGTGGTGATCAGCGCATCCCAGCGCTCGAGGCGGCAACGGAGGCGGGCGAAAGTAGCTGGGATCGTAGCTGAATTGCCGCCTCCGCCACTGGTCGTACTGCCTATAGTGGCTGAACAGGCGGCGACGGCGCAGAATGAGCTGCTTCTTGGCCTCCAGCACCTCGTCCTCCTCGACGAAGGTGCGCTCCTGCGAATTCTTCAGGATGCCGCGCTGCTGGGCGAACTTGCGCTGCTTCATGGCACCAGCCGCCTGCAGTGGCAGTATGCGATGGACGGGCTCCTTGGCCCGCTGGAGCAGCTGCTGATCCTCCCTATCCTTGTCCGGAACATCTTCGCCCTCCACCTCGATGTTGTCGTCCCCGTTGGCCTCGCCTGCGTCCAGGCTGTCCACATTCTCCAGCACATTGGCGCCCACAATGGACTGATTATCGACGCTGGGTCCGCGCACATAGGTGTTCACCGGTGTGCCATGGCTATGGCCATGTCCGTGGCTGGACGCCGCGCTCACGGCCGCCGAGGAGGCTTCGCGGTGCGCTGGTTGCTAGCTCTCCACATCCGCCTTGTGCAGCAGTGCAAACTGGCAGCCGCAGTCGCGCTCCAGCTCCCTCCGCGGATACTGGAAGCAGCGGTCGAAGATACCACAGCCCTCGCACCGCGGCAAGCACTGTTTCGTCGGGGGGCAGGGCCAACCAATAACCAAAGATCGGAAGCGGGAACAGTAGGAGCGGCAAGAGCAGCAAGAGCGGGATCAGGAGCAGGAGCAAGATCAGCAGGCGAGAGCGAAGTGAAAGTAGGGAATGTTTCGTCAGTGAGATCTCGGGAAAGCGCCCACCTGAACAGCAAAGCTCAAAACCAAAACCGCTAAATGCATTTAGGATGCAGACGAACTTCTTCTTCAACTGAATAAAAGATTTCGATGTTTACGAGATAGTTTGTTGAGAATAATAGGTTTCATGTTTGATTTTATCCAATCCAAGAGTATTTTTAGCTATTAAAAATTAGCTATTTATTTAGTATTTCATTATATAAATTAGTATTTTTAGCTATTTTATTAAAATACTGTTGTATTTTAGCTTTAAATTTGTTCACTGGTTTAAGGTTTACTAATTTAATCACTAATTCTTGCGTGAGAAAAGTTCGTCCGCATATCTATGGAATGTGGATAGTACGAGTTATAAATTAGAAGTGCTCTCATATGCATAGCGCATCCTGAGCTCAATGAATCTAGGTGGAATCGCTAGTTGACATCGGCAAGCCGAAGAGCTCATACTCTTCAGAAACGTATCAAGTCAAATCCAGAGAGTATGCCCCAAAACTAGTGCCATAAGCCTACGGAAAAGAAAGCCAAATTAAATGCGAAATGCGCGTGCTACCTTGGCAAGCAAATCAAAAGAAGTAACAGTCGAAAAAGTAGCA